CTGTACGCCGTGTGTGTAATGGGAAATGACATAATGAGCCACATATGGCTACGAGGAGCAAGGAAAAGTAGGAGAAAGGGGAGGGGGGAGGGGGGAGGGGCTCGACGGCAGGACACAATGGAAAAACAAACATTTCTGCAACATTTGAGCCTGTCGTGTGCTAATTAAAGCTTACACAGTCCCCCCAACAGAAGGATTGCTAGAGATTGGGACAGAATTCATATAAAAATGTTCAAATTCACTTTTTTAATTAAGCTATATCTCACAAACCAATTATTGAATCTCTTAGATCTTTTTCAACATCACTGTAAGACTGTTTTCAGTAGGTAATCTTACTTTCCAAAACTTTAGTTGTCTTCAAATATTAGCAGAACTGACCACATTAGGTCAGGTCATATTGCTAAACTGTTAGAGCGTGGTCAACAAAACTACTCGCTATGCACCAAATCAGTTACTAGATGCATAGCCTAGATTAATATTTGAGATCCATGACAATCCATGTGATTCCCATTGTCGGCTGGCAGTGTAAGGCAGTATATCTGGAGGGGGATTAATTTGTTGTTGTCTCAAACTGTTGGAGACAGAAGCGGGCTGAGCATTAAACGGAAAGATGGCAGAAGAAAAGAGAGGTTGACAAACATCAGTCAGCAGAGCCTTAAGAGATTCTATTAGTTTTTACCACAAACATGCACACAAACTCTGGTGGGTCTGCTTCTAATATTCAAACTACAACACCGTTCCAAACTTTTACCATTCCTACAAACAGAGAGCCTGCCCATGGTTTTTTTTTTACTTTAGATGAAGTGAAAACACTGAACAACAAAGAAACTGGATTCATTCTGCAGCAAAAGTCTGTTTTGGGTCTGCTTCCCTTTGTCTGTAAGAGAAACAACCCACCTTCTGTCAGTGTGTACTCAGGATTGGACACATTGCTCGAATACAACTACAAAGTTTAAATGACAAAACAATTTAGCTGTGAATGCACAAGTCATTGTTCACTTTGTCTCTTTTTCTTAACAAAAAAATAAATGCATCAGATAGGAATTCAGATACATTTGGTCTACTTGTTGGAGGCAACAACAGAAGGAAAGGAAGCGGAAAATACTGGAATTATTTTGTTGTTACAACATATGGGCCAAACCTCCCCCACAGATTCAAATTAGGTGGGAAACCCGACATAGTGATGAGGAAACTGGGAGGTCTCGGGGACTGAGGGCGTAATGACCCTTCAATTTCCATGTGTCCATCTCTACAACCATTAGCTGACACACAACATTCCCCGTGGTTTTGGAGCACGTCTTCTGAGAGTCACAACCCCGCCAAGTCAACAGCTCCTCAGCTGAGAGATATTCAAATGAAAAGAGAGGAGAATAATTACAGCTTAATTCAATTTAATCTGGAAGAGCTTCTGGGAAAGCATTTATTTCTCAGCATTGAATTTCATGTGGTAAACAAACATAAATATACAAACAAAGTAAGCTTAAGGAGATAAGGAGATTAGCAAAAACCATACAGGAAATGAGCAAAACATTTAAGCATACTCCACAAACCCTCAACTATGAGCCATAATTCATAGCAACTGTCATGCAGTTTACAACGACCTGACGAATCTTTTATCAATGACATGACACTTATTTTCTATTTTCTTATGGAAACACAGTGTTCCTTACAATAACTTTCAATGCAAACGAAGACATACTCGTGGCATTAATACACATCACAATCATATACATCACCAAACAGCAGCATTGCAGACTTTTAGTCTACACACGAAGTTTAAAGCTTAGAATTCATTTCTGAAAAGTTATCATCATAAAGCATACTACAAAATATCCAAATTATTGTCATAAGACAATAGTACAATCTGCCCTCTGCCCTAAAATATTTAAATGCATTTAAAATGACATTTTTGTTGCATTCCAGGAAAATCCGAACAGATCCTTTTTTTATCCAATACAATTTCAGAATTTTTAGTTGTGTGTTCTGTCAATTAAACTACAGGAAGATCTGATCTAGTCTAACGAGATGGCAGCAGCTTCCTCCAACAGGAAAACTGAGTGGGACTGAAAAACAGAGGGTTCAGTGGTGGCTCGGTTCTGAAACTGCCTCAATCACACTCCCATGAAGTCTTTATGGGATTCACCAGCACAAGTCTAATCCACAGAGACCACAGACACCAGGGGACCCCCCGATGTGATGCCCTCCCCTATTAGGCCTCCTGCCCAGCAGTAGGGAGGGGGTCTACATGGTGGCTCTAATGGGGTTTTCCAATAACCTACTCAGCCCTACACGGCTTTACTCACCTCTCTGTGACTCGTTTTTTTGTTTTATTCATACCAAACCGGCTTTCCTAGCAGGCTGAAACGGGCCGACCAAAGAATGCTCAGAACTGATTACAGTCACATGACTGGCTGAGATATTAAAGTGCCTCCCACATGAGAACCCCTCTTATTCAGAAAATAGATTGCTTGATTATTTCTGTGATCATCAACCTTGTAGATGCCCAGTTCTTGAACCAACTTGGTCCAAATTAAAGCTTCAGTGCTGTTATTTAACTCGCTGCTGCATTCAAACGATGGGACGGGCGGGGGGGGGGGCGGTGCCTCATTTTGTTACGAATCATTAGTGAAAAACCACCTAAACCGAGTCATGGCCAGTAGGGCTGAGTAGGATCTGACCCCCATAAGTGGATTTCAGAGCATGTTTTTGTTCTATTGTCCTTCCACCAACAGGCTTTTCTCACACGTTGTGCCGGGCCATTTGCTAGCTGCTGCTTTTACCAATAAACCATGTGGTGCAAAGACAGGGAGGGACATGCTGGAGGTCAGAAGCTGTTACCCAGACGGCTGGCTGCAATAGAGGAGAACAGAGGATGTGCGCCCCCCCATCTTCCCAAGACTGGACATCTTAATAAGTTCACACCAAGGGCAAACCATGCAATGCTCAGAGAAGGTGCAATAAAGCCAACAGATGCAGGCTCAGACTCCACAAAGGCTTCAGGAATAAGGCCTTTAGACTGACCAGACCAGAGCAGAGCTGCTGGCCCCAGCAGGACGCGGCAGCTGTCCCCCCGGCTGGGGAGGGACGACGGCCTCGGCTTGTGGAGACCATCTCTCTCAGACTTGCTCATCAACAGGACAATGATCCCAAACACAGCAAATCAGCAAATCTACAACAGAATGTCCAAAAAAGAAACTAATTGAGGCTCTGCACCTAAAATCCAGCCTGACTGAAATGCTGTGGGGGGACCCTCAACCCAATGAAGACTGGACCAAACTCGCTCCAAAATATCTGTGATAGACTGATAACATTATTTCTAGTTACAGCAGACAGAGAAGCATCGTTTCCCTATCTGCTGGACAGAGCAGTGGACACAGCTTCTCACACAGCTGGTGGATTCCATTTGTAAATATTCACATGAGATCATTAAAACAACTATCCGATGACACAAAATGATCATTTTCCTAAGTAAATTGTCCGGTTTTAGCCGTATAAGGTGGTGAGGGCGTAATTGAAAATGGCGCACAGAGAGCCTTCCTGTTGCTCTGAGAGCGTGTGTTTACTCGATGGTGAGCCCTGCGCTCTGCTGATGCTGCGGCCGATAGCGCCGCGCTTTGAACACGGAGCCTCCGGGGAACACACCGGGGTCAGCAGTCTGAGCCAGAGCAGCGCCGGAACAATCCCAGCTCCGCCATGACAATCAATCATTTACATATCTGTTCCAAAACTGTGTTCATAGATCAATGTCAAATTCATCTTTCTATTAAATCACCCTCATTTGTCATAATGCTACTAAATCAAGACATACTTCATGTCTTCTCTTTTATTGTTCATCTTTGCGACAGACAACACGCAAACAAGGCCCAGCTGGCCGAAACAGACACACTTTCATCCTGGAATCTCCAAACAGCGTACAGCAGCAGCCCAGCGTTTCGGCTCCATACGCCGCGTTTTAAGCATGTGTTTAGAATACTATAATTAGGAGTGCGGGACACAGGGCGAAGTCTGCTCACAGTGGACACGGAAAGTAAAGAGCTGCATCCAGCTCCCTCCCTCCCTCTTCCCCTTCTGCTTTGTAGACTCAAATTGGTTCCAGATGCACTCTCTCACAGCTCGCCTTCATAACCGAATCACAACATGAAAGCAACAAAGGACAGAAGTTTTGCAAATCTGTGAAGAGGACAGATATGTATGGAATTTCTGCACAAAATGGAGGGGGAGCTACAGAAGAGGCCACCGTCTCCCAAAGGGAGACGGCATGCATCACTTCTCCATTTGGGGTTATTCATCAGGCTTACGGCCGTCCGTTTGTGGGACCTTATTGCTTTAGAAAATCTCGGGGAGACCATGTGCGCTCCAAATGAGGATTCGAGAGTTGTGTTTCTTTCATGTTCCAGACAGATGTAACAGGAAAAAAAAAATCTGAACAAAGTGATATTTAGCTGAGCAAATCCACATCCTGCACCCATGTGCGGCCGGAGATCAAAGAGCGGCCCACCAGCACCTTCCACCAGTTTCTACCCCAGCCAGGAGCCCCTCCATAAACCCCCCCCCCAGGCCCCCCCTCCACACCCCCCCCCCCACCAGGAGACACCTCTCCAAACACTACAAATATAACGACAAAGTGAGGACCCACAACTGCCTGTTGACTCAGACAGTTCACAAGTGAGAGCTAATTGAGGGCCACAACTCCTCCTCATTATTGACTCCTCTGTTTGGCTTTTAGCTCATTCTGCTGTCGTTTCCAGCACAATGGGCTCGTTCCACCCCACACAGCCCAAACATCCAGTCTCTGGAAGTCCCAAATGGAAGGTCCGGTCTGTAAAATGTTTCGGAAAACAGCTAAAACTAAAAACAGTTCGTGTGTTGCGGTCTTTTGGAGGAGCGGTCATCGTGTTAATGCGCGGCCGTCACTCAAAATGTCACGTTTTGGGGTTTATGGATGATAAAGGACAGATTTTTTATTAATTTCTATATCAGGAGGCACACGTAGACCCGGTATGCTGTTCCCGGGCAGCGCAGACCACAGTGTTAAAGTGCCGACCAGCTTCGCGCCGTGTCGCCATAACGGTCCCCTCACGCGCCCGTCCCGCCGCTTCCTCCTCCCGCTGGACCACAACCACCCTCCGACACTCACAAACAACCCAACGGACCGCGGCGGGAAACGGGTTCGATACTTTCGTTATCGGTTTTTCAGACTTCGGGAGCTCTGGAGCTCTTCCCGGGAAGCGAGCCCCGGAGGTCGCGTAGCCCGGGACGGACCCGCCGCCCCCAGCACACCCAGTCCCCCTGACCCTGGCCGGAAGACTCTCCGCCACCACAGATTCCCAACACCTCTGCTCAGTATCCATATGTCCAACTTAGTTTAGTGGCCATCAATATTCCACATTAAAACACAAATATACCGCTTCAAAAAGTTGCCTTGGTCCGTTATTTCACAAAACGACATAAGCCCTAGTTTTTTGGTTGGCAGTAAACAGTGTAACAAATAAAAACAATTGGATTTATAGAGCAGAGGAGGACGGTTCTGGGACTTTGTCCTTTCCCGAATTTAAGATAGAACTTTGATTATTTAAACTTGAACTTAGTTAAGAGTCTACAATGAGTCCGTGTCCCCCAGGACATGCAGCAATAAGAAATATGACCATCTTTGAATGAAGTTTGGCCAAGACTACTGAATGCTTAAGGGGGGATCTATTCCGCCAACAACGTCTGCTGTCATTAAATAAACAGGTTAGTCTAAACATACAAGCAAAAACTAATGATTTAAGAATACGAAACATGCAACAGAGTATTTGAACCTAAATTCAAACCGGCCTTAAACAGCACAGAAATGTGGGAAAAGTTGTGGAGTTATAAAACCCTGTTGGACTCACCCTGCGCTCGCAGTGGCTGGCAGTACAGATTTAAGGCGAGGAGGAAACTTGCTATCTTGACACACACACGCATCTTATTGAAATCCTAAAGCGCATTGTGAACAAGAAGAGGCAGAAAACACTGGTGCTGTGACATGCCGCTCCATGGATCCCCGTTAACTCTCAGCGTCCGCAGCCCCCTGTGGCACGGGGAGCGCAGCGCGCATGCGCACAGCCCAGCACACAAGCAGATGTTCGAACTGGATCAAACTCATTCCGCAGCTGGTTGTTTTACGCACTATTAGGCCTGTAATTGTTAAGATGTTCAACTTTAGCGAGGTAACATTTGGATAAAAGTATAAACTTCACATTTTACTTGTTCTAATCTATTAGAAAATCAAGATTGGGGTAAAGAAACAGTGATTGTTGAATTAAGACGCAATAATCGTCCCACAAATAAAGATTTTTAAAATGATACTCTATCTTTTTTACAGAAAAAGGATCAATAATTGGTTACATCGAAATATGCTTTTAAGATAGTTTAATCATATTTGAATACACATCTTAAAATGCTTGAAACACACAGAGGAATAAAAAGTTATCAAAATGATTTTGCTGTTTTCTCCTAAAGTATTATCCGTCCATCCATTTTCTATACCGCTTATTCACTACTGGCTTGTGGGAGGGGTGCTTGTTTAACAGCACCTAAAAAAATAAGACAAAAGAATGAATGAAATATTGATACACTCACCGTCATTGAGAAGTGAGACTTCAGTGGAAGGGCCTGAAAATGGAGCACCGCTTGGAGCTAAACCCTAAAAACCATCTGTTTCTGAAAGTTGTCCACCGTTTAGTGAAGTGCTGTATAGAATTATGTATGACTTATAACTTTTCTTGGTGCTCCTGAAGCCAGAAGTTGACAAATTTTGACAAAAGGGTCAACAAACAGTTGCTGTGTGGCTGCAGTTTTGGCTCCAGTGCTCACGGCTGAGGTTTTATTCTTTTATTTCTGATTCAGATGTGTTTTATTTTAACATCAAAGAAAGATGCATACAAATCTGCCAATTTAGCTCATAAAATCAGGAGCAAATGATTGCGCTGGGAGTATGTTGGTTTCTTTAAGATACAAATAATATTCATAATGAAATAAAATCAAACATGAAATCAAATTGCAAAGTGTATGAAAAAACTTTACCTCCTATCCTTTATTTTTCTTTTACAATAACGTTTTAGTCAAGCTGTGCACCCTAAACCTTTCAATAGAACCTTTGTTTCAGACGGACATGAGGATTTTTCTAATTTACACGTCCAGCAACAGGAAGTGCTGTTTTCCACGGGGGCCTCCCAGTCTGTCCCATCTTTGTCTCTATTAATGCCCGTATCAACAAGGCCGGGCAGCCTTTTTGTGCGCCACAGCCGCCAAACACCAGGGAATTCTGTGTCCAGGGAGACACCGTCTTTTGTGAGGGATCAGGGGTCATGAGTGGGGAGTATGTCAGGGCTGGAGTCAGCACATTGGCCCCATGTGGCTACATCTTGCTGTTGACAGGCATGAATAGAGATGGGGGCACAAAGAAAGGACCCACTGGAAGCAGGGAGGGGAATCAATCCTGTTCATTTAGATGGACTGAAGTCCTTTGAGGAGGGAGTCCTTTGAGGTAAAAATGCCACTTCACAGTGATATATTTCATTGGTCACTGTAAACGCACATGTTGACTAATTAATGAACTGTGTTCTACAACTTCCGCTGAGGATGAAACAAATGGCCTGGCTTTGCAAAATATGATAATAGAGATCATTTCTTTACTTAGAAAACTATCCAAACATATAGTTAAACTGCTTTCCTTAAAGGAAATCTTTAATTTGCCCCATACAATGGTGCCTGTCCTTCGAGTTGCAGTCTGGCTGAATAAAGAGAGCCTCTTGTTGGCTTTCAGACCTACAGTACAAACCTCAGGGCAACCGCCTCCATTCACCAGTCAGTGGCCAACTGGCTCGCCGTTTCAAAACAGAGTTTTTATTGTCATCATGCAGCTGATGAATCCAGTGTTATTTCTCCCCCTTTGGCCTTTTTTCTGCAAACCAGATGTTTCAGTTAGTGTGCAGGTTTATAGATATCTGCCAGAGAATGGACCTAGATAAAAATTAAACCAATTCATTTGGCCGATATCAGCTATTATCTGATCCTTTTGAAAAAATGGTTAGACAATAATAATTTCAATCAGAAGAGGCTTTGGATGCCTGCAAAATGGGTAACAGCACAGTTCTATTTTTGATATAACAGAAGATTTAATGAAAGGATGAAGTGTGTGTGCAGGCACTGATTCAATTAGATGGGGAGGGAAACAGAAAAGAGGGATGGCTGGACTAAGTGGGGGAAAAGACCAGACTCAGGCTCACGGCTCAACCACGGTCAGCTTTTGTGGACTAATGATGAGCTCAAATTGTTCACTTCAGCAAACAAAAACAGAGAACCTCATTAGACAGTGAAACAGAGACACATAGACAAAAAAAACATCTTAAAGAGGAGTCTTTTTTCCAGGCGGAGCACATGAGGGCCAAGGAGAAACGTCTATTGACAGAAAGACAAAAGGCTGTTGTGACTAGAGCCCATGTCCTGCTGAGATGATGTACTATGAAAACAAGACACAAGTAAACCTCTCTGGAAATGCAGATCATAAACATGTTTGTAGATTATGAAATGGAAATAAATACCATCCTTATACAGTGTAAGAAAAGGAAAGAAGTACTTATCTGTACCAATTCATTTTCGGACCGTATGTGTTATACGGTGTAACAGAACTTTTTGGACCTTTTAGGACAGCTAACCACAAAATGCACCGAACAGAACTTTGGAATTTGTATGAAGTTAGTTCTGGACTGTCTGAGTCCTCCCTAAATCTGAAAACTGAAATCTGTACAGACATGGTGAGCAGATGGGCGTCAGGGTGTCTGGACACTTACATGTGGATCTATAGATGTTAATTTACACTCACATGCAAATGTCAGGCTTTAACTGATGTTTTGAAATGTTGCATCACAGAAGATAACAATATTCTAAAACTACTTCAACCATAAGGTCCATTTCAATTAAAAAGGTTTAAACACTGCTGTCAGCGGGTGGTTGTATTTGTGAATCTATAGAGTTATAGTAGTTTAGTAGCAGAATATTGATAATAATAATAATAATAATAATAATAATAATAATAATAATAATAATAGTAATATTAATAATAATAATAATAATAATAATATATAATGATAATAATAATAATAATAATAATAATAATAATAATAATAATAATAATATAATATAATATAAATTATATAAATTATATAAATTATATAAATTAATATAATATAATATAAAAAATAATAATATATAATAATATATCATGATAATAATGATAATAATTATTATTTCACGTTTTATTTGTGGAATGGTATTGAACATTATGTTAAAAAAAGACACTGAGAATTTTTGAGATTACATTATCTTGACAAATGTATTTGGTATTTTCCCCCTTTCTAAAAAATTAGAACCTGTACCACTGATTTTTCTTAAATTCTTTTATGAACCGACCAATGTGGTAAAGTGGAATGAGGAGGAAAAAAACAAAGAGAGACATTTAATATAGATGTGGACATTTGTCTTATTTGGTCCCCTTTTTTTTTTTTTTACCATTTCCGTGTTGTGTTCATGTGATGTTAAAGTTAACTTTTGTCTTTAATTGATGGTGTGTACCAGCCTTTTAGGGTTACAGTGAGTCCTCTCATTTAAATGTCCAACATCACTGAGCAAGTGAAAGAGGTTTGGAGACAATAGCACTGATGTGTGTGTGTGTGTGTGTGTGTGTGTGTGTGTGTGTGTGTGTGTGT